CACATTAACAAAGTAAAGAATAAAAATCATATAACCAGCTAATTAGAGAATAAGCTAACTTATTAGTTACAGAATAAGCACTTGACGAAATTCAACATCCGTTTTTATCCTCCTGGCCACTAGGCACCATGATAGCTAGCCTGTGTGGCCCAAGCAAGGTCTTTCAGGCATTAGGCTGGGCAGCCCTCCTTGGGGTCCCAGACATGAGGCCAAGAACACAGCTGAAAGTGGAGGCCTGGTATGTGGATCCTGGAGGGAGACCATAGGATGAGATGGTCCAGGCCCCAGCGGGGATGGGAAGAACCTGCAGCAGGAGGGCCAAATTGTAGGTGGCCCTTGTCTCACTCCAGTGCTTGCCTTGGGTTGTACCTTCAACATCCATTTATAATTCAAAACTTCCAAAAAGGAACATAATACCTCAACATAATAAAGGCCATATATGATAAATCTACAGCATGATAAACATCATGCTCAATGGTGAAAAGCTAAAAGCTTTCCCTCTAAGATCAGGAACAAGACAAGTTCTTGCCCCTCTTGCCACTTTTATTCAACAGAGTGCTGGAACCCCTAGCTACAGCAATCAGACAAGAAAAATAAAATGGTTGGTTCAAATTGTTAAGGAAGAAGTAAAACTATCACTATTTACAGATGACATGATACTATATAAAGAAAACCCTAAAGACTCCACCAGAAAAAACTATCAGAATAAATGAATTCAGTAAAGTTCCAGAATACCAAATTAACACGCAGAATTGGTTACATTTGTATATACGAATAATGAGCTATCAGAAAGAAAAATGAAGAAAACAATCTTATTTACAACCTCATCAAAAAGAGTAAAATACCTGGGGATAAATTTAACATAGTAGGTTAAAGACCTGTACTCTGAAAACTGTAAAAAGATTTTATTGATGAAAGAAATTGAAGACAACACAAATAATGGAAAGATACAATGTGATCATGGGTTGGAAGAGTTAATATTGTCAAAATGTCTATACTACCCAAAGCGATCACAGATTCAATACAATCCCCATCAAAATACCAATAGTATTTTTCACAGAACTAGAACAAATGATATTAAAATTTGTATGGAACACCAAAAGACCCCAAATAGCCAAAGCAATCTTAAGAAGGAAAAACAAAGCTGGAGGTATTATTCTCCCTGATTTCAAGCTACACTACAAAGCTATATTAATCAAAACAATATATTACTGGCACAAAACAGACACATAGATCAATGAAATATAATAGAGAGCCCAGAAATAAACCCACATTTGTATAACCAATTAATCTATAACAAAGGAGGCAAGATATACAATGGAGAAAAGACAGTCTCTTCAATAAATGATGCTGGAAAAACTGGACACCATATGCAAAAGAGTGAAACTGGACCATTTTCTTACACCATACATAAACTCAAGGTGGATTAAAGACTTGAATGTAACACCTGAAATCATAAAACTCCAAAAAGAAAATATAGGCAGTAAGCTCTTTGACATCATTCTTAGTAATATTTTTTTGGACTCGTGTCCTTAGGCAAGGGCAACAAAAGCTGTACCAAACAAATGTAATTACATCAAACTAAAAATCTTTTGCACATTGAGGGAAACCGTCAACAAAATAAAAAGGCAAATCTACTGAATGGGAGAAGGTATTTGCAAGTCATACATCCAGTAAGAGTTTATATCCAAAATGTATAAAGAACTTACACAACTTATTATAAAAAAAAAAAAATCTCATTTAAAAATGGGCAGAGGACTTGAATAGATTGTTCTCCAAAGAAGACCTACACTAACATGAAACAGGTGAAACATGAAAGGTGCTCAACATCACTAATAATCAGGGAAATGTAAATAAAACCATAATGAGATATCACCACACACCAGGCAAAATGGCCATTATCACAAAGAAATAAAAGATTTTTATTTTTTTAGTAAGGTAAGGATGTGGATAAAAGGACACTCAGACACTGCTGGTGGGATTTTAAGTTGGTGCAGCCACTGTGAAAAATAGTATGGAGGTTCTTCAAAAAATTAAAAATAGAACTACCATATGATCCAGCCATTCCACTTCTGGAAGAAAACAAAAACACCAATTTGAAGAGATATATGCATCACCATGTTCACTGCAGCATTTTTTACAATAGACAAAAAATGAAACCAGCCTAAGCGTCCATAAACAGATGAATGTATAATGAAGATGTGGTGTATATATGAAATATTAGCTGTAAAAAGAATAAAATCTTCCCATTTGTGACAACATGGATGGACCTAGAGGCTATAATGCTAAGTGAAATAAGTCAGACAGAGAAAGACAAATACAAAAATGATTTCACTTATATGTGGAATCTAAACAACAAAACAAATGTCATAGGTCAATGATATCTCATTAAAGCTGGAAAAAAACAAAGACCCTTGAGTGCTACAGCTAGATTAAAACCTAGACTTCCGGCCCCAGAGCTGCACACTAAACCACTACGCGTGAGTGCTATAAAACAAACAAACCACATTCATTTATCCTTTTCTCTAGTGACATTTAGGTTGTTTGCAGTTTTCCTTACTATGAACAAGTTTCAATGAACATCATTGTGCCTACCTCCCTTCGCATGCATACGTTGAACGTTTCCTGAGGCTATAAACATCAAGAGGAGTAGCTATGGGATCCTTTTTTGTTTTTTGAAAGAACAGAGCAGGTGCTGTTTAAAAGTTTCTTCCTGGGGCGCCTGGGTGGCGCAGTCGGTTAAGCGGCCGACTTCAGCCAGGTCACGATCTCGCGGTCCGTGAGTTCGAGCCCCGCGTCGGGCTCTGGGCTGATGGCTCAGAGCCTGGAGCCTGTTTCCGATTCTGTGTCTCCCTCTCTCTCTGCCCCTCCCCTGTTCATGCTCTGTCTCTCTCTGTCCCAAAAAAATAAATAAACGTTAAAAAAAAAAAAAAAAAGTTTCTTCCTTTCAGAAAAATGTTTTTCTCTGATAGAATATATGTTCCATGAAGGCAGGAATGTTTTGTTCACTGCTGTATTCTAAGCAAATAGAAGAATGTCAAACACATGAGACATACTCAATAAACACCCGCTGAAGATATGAATGGTTCTGGAATATTAAGCTCTATTTCCTTAATTATGCAAACTCATTTTATATAGCCCCAAACTGTATGAGGAGAATTTCTAGTTACTCATCTTTGTACATTGAGAATTTTACCTAACCCTGGGTTTACCCCCAAAGGGGACTGGAAGAGAGGATTCTTCTTGGATCCCAGTACTTCCTCTGATGTTACTGATATTCTTTTCAAGGATTTTATTTCTTTTTTAATGTTTATTTTTTTATTTTCAGAGAGATAGAGAGCGAGCAGGGGAGGCACAGAGAGAGAGGGAGAATCCCATGCAGGCTCTGTGCGGTCAGTTTCCCAGGAACTGTGAAATAATGACCTATGCCGAAACCAAGAGTAAGATGCTCGACCAACTGAGCCAGCCAGGTGCCCCCTCCTCGAGGGCTTTAAACTGGGAAGTAGGGAACAAGTTCTATGACCCAACACCCTGAAGAGAATGGGGAGGGAACCATGGCTGTTAATGACTTGGGACAGTTTCCCCTGAGGCCTGGTGTGGCTTGACCTTGTTGGTGCTTCCAAACACCATGTCAAAGCTGAACCTTGCCCTATTGTAAAGAGTTGGAAAGATGCAACTCAACCACTGCCAGCCCCATGGATACCACCAAGCCACCGTGGCTAAGGAGACTGCAGCGAGGAGTTCCCAGTCTGTCCTACTGCTCCCTCTTGCTCTTACCCCTCGTGCCTCCAAAGGAGGGCATGTGAATGCCTACCAGACTCCCAGATAGCCCTCAAGGCCCAGTGCATCCCACTCCACCCTACCTATGAGAACTTCCTTTTTTTGCATGTGAACAACTCCCTTCTGTAGAATCTAGCAATGGTACAGGTGTCCCCATGTTTCTATTGTTGGTCACTTCAGCCATGCTCAGAATAGGAGGAATCAGAAGCACACCTACCTCAGTGTTAACTTGTTTTTTGCTGTGTTTTCCCAAGATGTCCTAAGTCAGTTATAGACAACAGAACAGTGGTCGAACGGAAAACCGTTGGCTGCTGCTCCTCTGTGAAAGCAGCTGCATCTTTCATTCTAATTTTTAAACCCCTCTTTAGTGTGACTCCTGGGTGGTGAAGGTGGCACATCCAACATCTTCACGTGTAAAACACAGGAAGGATTTTCTTGTGTACCGATGGAAGAGGATTTTGGAGCAGATGGCTGTACCTACGCTTTGTTTCTCTCATCTATTCTCCACAGCCCATTCATTCTTTTACACCTCTCTTTGTGTGAATAATCTCCTTTTCACTTTTGTGCTTTACTCGAGTTCCATGCTGACAACTGAGCTGGCAACTGTTAGGAAGCTTCTGGCACTGACAAATCCATCAAATATTTAGTGACGTAGGCCTACTAGGTGCCAGACCTTCTCTCAGAAGCTGAAGAAAAAATATTTCCTGATATCAAGGAGCTCACAACACGTCTCACAAAGCTACCTTCTAGTAAAATAAATAGATAATAAGTAACCATATGGCAGGGGGTGCTACTGTAAGGGAGAAAAGGAAGTCAAAGTACAGGGCAAAGAATGCTGGAGAGGTGCTACTCTCGAGAGCAGAGAAAGCCCCTCTTAAAATATCCTTAAAAAATGTGAAAAGGAACATTGAAATATCCTCGCTATACAATCATGCCTCAACAGGATTCCCTAGTAACTATGAAAAGCAGATGTATGTGTGTTTGTTCATGAACATCCCTAGTAGGTAAGACCACTTTGTGTATTACAAAATCTGGAATCTCAGGACCAAGTGCATGATTCTCTGATTCTAATTTCCTCGCTTATAAAATGAAATCAACCATATCGTAGGGTTATTGTAAAGATCCAATAAGTCAGCGTCTATAAACTGCCAAGCACACAGTTAGCACTCAATAAATGTATACTTTCTTTCCTTTCTCCCTTCTCTTTTCCCGGCTCTTACCTTGATAAAACCAGATAGCCTTCTCCCCAAGTCATACACATGATGCCATAGAGATCCTTATGAAGGAACAATCAGAAATTAGGTCAGTTTTTCCTTATTGTACAATGTCCTCAATCCATAGAGCCTAGGTCTCTTTAGATAATTTGGAGTGAAAACAAACAATTCCTTATTGGGTTCCTCTAGAGTCTGAATGGGCCTAGAATGGTGCCATTAAATAGAGAAGAGTTCACTGAAATGCCAAGAGGGAACTAAGTCAATAGATTGAATTACAAATGTCTTATCCTGTGAGTAGATGAGGAAGGGGCTTCAGACCCTCGGGGGTTGGATATTGACTACATCTCTCTCCAACATACCATAATCAGGATAAATATGAGTACTTATTAAAAAATCTAAATCATCCCCTCCCATTGTCCCAGTGGTACCACATTAATAAAGAAAATTAATTCCCTGGTATTTTTTATAGCCAAAGAAATATATCATCAATAATGACAAATAATAAAAGGTGACTTTCTTACTCTAAGAGTTAATCCAGGTAAACTTAGCCCCGTTAATAGACCACGTAAGCGTTTTTTAATTAAACAACAAATTCAAAACCAACTTCATTAGTCTTTCACGAGGTCACTCCCAGTGGCCTCTTCCTTTGGTGCAGAAGTAAAAGCTCTGCACTAGAAATAGGAAGTCATCCCTGTGACCCTGATCAAGATGTCTAACTTCTCAGTGTCTTAGGCTTGGATTAGGTTAAGGGAACATCTTGTGCATGTCTGAGATCTTCCTATGAACACATTCTTCCCCTTTCATTTCTTCCTCTATTTCTACTGCTTCTCTAGTCATAAACCACACCTGCAATATTATCTTGGTCCAATTCAGCAGCGTGTTCTTCTACTTTCCCAATGGCTCCAGGACTACGATGGTGGAGAATCTCCTGTATAGCTGGGCAGCCTTTCCACCAAGTAATTATAAACACATATCGCACTGTATATTCTTCCTCCCTGTGAAACATTTAAAGCATAGTCCTTATTCATATTCATAGTCCTTATAGTCCTTATAGTCTATAAGCCTATAGTCCTTATAGTCCTTATTCATCCCAACCTCCAGAGAGAGGTGTTGTAAGGACTCTCAGAAGGAGCTCAGCAGAGAAGCTTAAAACCCACCTTAGGAAAATCATTTAAAATGTAAAAAAACTAGTAGTTTCTCCAAGTAGACTTCAGTGAATAAAGATCTGATATGTCCACCTACCTGATCCTTTATTTTCATATACACAGACTTGGAATACCGCAAACTTTCTATTTTGACCTTGCTTTTATTTATAAGAGCCCTGGCCTCTTAAATAAAAATGCATGGCCCAAGCCTGCTGGCCGGGTAGGCCGTGGAGCACAGTATGCTTTGGGCTTTAACCTCTCACTACTACAGTTAGCTAACTTAACTGATCCCTCCTCACTGCTTCCCACATGTCACCGTGTCCGCTTGCAAAGTATACCTTCGTCCTTGCCTCTGTCTTATCATTGTGTCACATCAGGAAAGCATCCTCTTGCTTCCTTGGAGAGTTTAGTGCCAAAAAATAATGAAACAGTATCTCACTTAGTGGAAAATTTCATGTTGTCCAGAGACACGAACAAAAGAAAAGATAGCTGTCGGGAAACATCCTTTGCACCTGACTGAATCCATGTTGCAAACCATTTGTGACACTGCCAAAGGGAACCGGAACATGGCAAAAGATGCAACATGTACTAGAGCCTGGTTCCTAGACTTTGACTGAAATGTAAAGATTTAAAGAAATTCCAGGGAACTGACATAAGGTTGACAACACTTTTCAAATAAGGCCTAAAAACAGAAGGAAAGACCACCCTTTACTCTTGCCATTTCCTTTCAAATGGACAATTTAGTGGTATATCCATGAAATGGAATATTATTCAGCCATAAAAAGTAATGAGGTTCTGATATAGGCTACCACCTAGAAGAACCTTGAAAACATTAAGCCAAATGAAATAAACCAGACACAAAAAGACAAATATTGTTATGATTCCACTTACATGAGGTATCTAGAGTAGTAAAATACATAATGACAGAAAACAGATCAGAGGTTACCAGGGGCTAAGGAGAAGCAGGGATGGGGGGTTATTGCTTAATGGGTAGAGTTGCTTGAAATAGATACTGGTGATGGTTGCCCAACATCATATAATTAATGCCACTGAATTGCACACTTAAAAAATGGTTAAAATGGCCCCAAAGGGGGGATATTTTCACACACACACACACACACACACACACACACACACTGCAAAGCATAGAGGGAAACAGATCGTCCACAGATGCTTTCATTGATGTAAGAGGAAAGGACAGATGCAGATCCAGGTGAGTTTTTCAGTGCAGCTGTGGAAACAGATAGTTCTGGGTCATCTGCTGAGAGTGAAAGGGTCTTGGGACTGGAATCCTATTTCTTCTATCAACTCGGTACTCCTTTGTGCAGGTTTTGATGTTTCCGGTGATCTGGCTCTGTGTTAACCTAACCAACACATTCACAGATATGAACCGTCCACTCAGTCAAGCCATCCTCCTCACTAGCCTAGAACACCCAGCTCTCCCAATTCATGTCGCTAATCCTTTTTCTTTGTTCAGCCATATCCTCCCCCTCGTCAAGGCCAGCTCAATAACCATTCCCACGTGGCAGAGACGATCTCTTCCATAGTTTTCCTATCTTCCTAACCATCCTCAGTGACCAACCTGGTCTTGAACACCGAAAGCATATAAAATGCTCTTCCCCATCAGAGCTCACTTACCCACAGTAGTGTATTGATTATTGTTTTCCATCTGTTAGTCTTTTGTGAGCTCCTTCTCTTAATCTTATTTATTGAGTAAGTCCTAATAGTCTTTTAAGTACCCAGCAACTGCTATTATTGTTGATTAGTGAATAATTAACAAGAGTTAGTATTTATGTAGCCCACGAATTCCACAGTGCTTTCACACATATAATTATAGGATCACTGTTTACCATAGTATCTTAAATCCCCAACAAAAAACTTATTAATGAAATATTAGCTCCATTTGAATGAAAAAGAACCTGAGGTGTCAAAGAATCAAGTGGCACATGCTAGTTCATATGCTAATAATTAATAAAATATTGAATAATTACTTGATAACAAAATTAATAACAATAAGTAATTACAATCAATCTTGTGTATTAAAAAAGTCTCCTACTATATTTCCAACTAAGAATAAACCTAGGAAAAATTTTTCATATAGAAAATGACACATTTATTGTGTTATTTAGTAAGTGTTTTGTCACACAACCTGAGTCTATCTAGCCAAGTCATTCCACAAAACTATTTTCAACTTTAAAAAGTTAACAAGTAACACATATTTGTCATAGAAAAATGAGAAAGTAAGTCTGGTAGGAAAAGTCCATAATCCTACTATCTAATGTCAACAACCACCAACAGATACCTTTTTTTTTTTTTTTT